GGGGGCTCTATCTGAGGCCCCTAAAAGAGCCTGATCCAGACTGATGCGCAAGGCAGGGGGGCTACTTGGGGGCTCTATTGCTTTAACCTCTTGGGCTGTCTCCACTTACTGACCGTTGCTCATTGTGGCCCCGCAAATTGTCTTGAGAGGGTTGCTGACAGCAAGCTGGACCAACCGTTGCAGCATCCCCGTGGTCACGTGATCAAAGTCCAGACGCTTGGCAATTGACTCGTATTTACGACGGTTGCAGTGTCCTGGGGTCATGTGATCCCCTTTTGCGACCTTCTGACCAGCTTAGCCAATGGGGGAAGCCAGATTCTCTTAACAACCATGTCACTAACTTAACGACTGCAGGGATTCGCTGAACAGCTGCAGCAAGAAAGATTGTAAAATGGGGCCAAACTCACTTAGCAACTGTCTCACTTAGCAATGGAAGTTTTGGGATTGATTGTGGTCGTAAGTCAAGGATTACCTGTATGTGGGAAGAAGGGACTGACTTTTCTAGCAGGAAATTCTTTCCCGTTGAACGGGAGTTTTACAGCCCACATCCGCCCTTTGACTGTTTCTGTCTGGCCTGCCTGAGGTCAATCAGCAACGTTGGCTGGGGAATTCTGGGAGTTGAAGTCCACAAGACTTAAAGTGGCCAAGTTTGGAGAGCTTTGATATAGGTTGGACTAGAAGACCTTCCAACTGTTTTATTCTGTATTTCCTTCCTCCCTTCCTTTCTTTCTCTTTCTTTTCCTTCCTTCCTCCCTCCTTCCCACTTTCTTTCTTTCTTTCTTTCTCTCTTTTTCTTTTCCTTTCTTTCTTTCTTTCCTTCCTCCCTTCCTTTCTTTCTCTTTCTTTTCCTTCCTTCCTCCTTCCCACTTTCTCTTTTTCTTTCTTTTTCTCTCTCTCTCTTTCTCTTTCTTTTTCTTTTCCTCTTTCTTTCTTTCTTTCTCTTTTTCTTTTCCTTTCTTTCCTTCCTCCCTTCCTTTCTTTCTCTTTCTTTTCTTTCCTTCCTTCCTCCTTCCCACTTTCTCTTTTTCTTTCTTTTTCTCTCTCTCTCTTTCTTTCTCTTTCTTTTTCTTTTCCTCTTTCTTTCTTTCTTTCTTTCTTTCTTTCTCTTTCTTTTCTTTCTTTTCCTCTTTCTTTCTTTCTTTCTTTCCTTCCTTCCTTCCTTCCCTCCCTCCCTCCCTCAATTCTTTCCAACCTAGAACTAAGAAGAAATTTCCTATCAGACAACAATTCGCCTCCAGAGGTTGAGGGGGCTCTATCACTGAAGGTTTTCAAAAAAAGACTGGACAGCCATTTGTCCAGAATGGTACTATAGGGTCTCCTGCTTGAGCAGGGGGTTGGACTAGATCAGAGGCCCCCAGGGACCGGTTCTGTGGAGAGAGGTTTTATTGCGTACCAGAGGGTGCGTAGTTTCGCGTGCTGCCTGCATCCTGCGGATGGGGCTTTGTTGTTTGTGAGGGCCGGTTGCTGGCATGCCACGGACCAGTACTGGCCCATGGACCAGTGGTTGGGGACCCCTGGACTAGAAGACACCCAAGGTCCCTTCCAGCTGTTATTCTGTTATCTCTCTGCCTTCCTTTTCCCAAAAGAGTTATGGAAGGGCCTGGTTCGACAGACTGCCCCTTGGCTAGCACCTCACCGAGGCTGGCCTGCGCCCCGTGCGCCATGCACAACTGGCCCCACACAAACAGGTGTGAGATGTAAAAACCCCAAATTTTGATACTCACAATACGACAGTGGTTCTCCACCTGTGGGTCGGGACCCCATTTGGGGTCGAACGACCATTTCACGGGGTCGCCAAACGCAGTCCACCATTTCCCCCCCCTTTTCCGTAGCTGTGCTACTCCCTTTTATTCTATTGGCTTTTGAAAGCCAATAGAATAGACTCTCTTGAATAGAGTCTAATTCTATTGGCGTTCAAAAGCCAATAGGAATTGTCCAGGCTGTCTCTGCCCTGCTGAGCCCGCCAAAAGTCCCATTCTGCAAACGGTGCTGCACCAGTTGAGTAGTCCTCGACTTACGACCGGTTGAGTAGTCCTCGACTTACGACCGGTTGGGAGTCGCGGCATTAAAAAGGTTGAGAACCACTGCAATACGAAGACAAGTCTGGTTAACAAAACAAACGTTTATTGGAGAATAACATAAATAGAATAAAAGAGAAAAGAGAAAGAATAGAAGAGAGGAGCGTTTGCAAACGCGCCCCCCTGGATCCTTCCCTATGGATTGGATTCCAGGAGCCCACTGGCCTGGTTTCAAGATTTATTTATTTATGAGACTTATATACCGCTTTAAGTGCAAGCACTCTCTAAGCGGTGTACAACAGTAAGCAATGTATATATATATATTTACATTGCCCCCAACAATCTGGGTCCTCATTTTACCTACCCCGAAGGATGGAAGGCTGAGTCAACCTTGAGCCGGTGAGATTTGAACCGCTGACCTGCTGAACACAGTCAGCTAAAGTGGCCTGCAGTACTGCACTCTAACTGCTGCGCCACCTCGGCTCATAGATCTGCATTTTATACCCCTAGGTCAAAATCCCCCTCTTCGATAGTAGAATTTCTACTCAAAGTGTAAGTTCCTGTGTCCGCAGGATTTTTAGGCAGGAAATAGTAAACATTTGGTCATAATTAATTGTCTTTGCTGATTACTATTTGTAGTCACTTTTACATGGGCAGGAAACAGTAAACATTCCTGTTTCATATATTGGCATTACCTTGTTACATTTGCGTTAACAGTGTTACATTTGTACTAAAGCAGTGGTTCTCAACCTTTTTAATGCCGCGACCCCCAACCGGTCATAAGTCGAGGACTACTCAACCGGTTGTAAGTCGAGGACTACTCAACTGGTGCAGCACCGTTTGCAGAATGGGACTTTTGGCGGGTTCAGTAGGGCAGAGACAGCCTGGACAATTCCTATTGGCTTTTGAAGGCCAATAGAATTAGACTCCATTCAAGAGAGTCTATTCTATTGGCTTTCAAAAGCCAATAGAATAAAAGGGAGTAGCACAGCTAAGGAAAAGGGGGAAAAAATGGCGGACTGCCTTGTTTGGCGACCCCCGTGAAATGGTCGTTCGACCCCAAATGGGGTCCCGACCCACAGGTGGAGAACCACTGTACTAAAGAGACAGTTTCATTTAATGGCATTCCATTTCTGCAATTGTTTCTACAATTATTAAAAAATAACTTTTATTTCCTTCACAGGGAAAGCAAGGAAGCATTTAACTCCTTTTTTTTCCAGCTTCGCTAAAACCCAGAGCATCGCACGGGCTGGACAGGAGCATGCCCCCCCCCTCGTGAAAGGCTGATTCCTCCACCCTCCGTTCGCCTTTTCCTTTCCTGCATGTCCACTCTTCCTCCTCCTTCATCTTTGGCGCCCCCTTCCATGTGCATGGTTGCCATGGCAACCTCCCAGCTGGGGCACCTAGGTATCCCTGGGTGATGGGTGGCTGAGATGCATCACAGATGGAGCAAAGATCGCCAGATCTCCGGCGTTCCTGCCTGCCACCCCCTCCCGTGCACCGAAAGGAACCAGCCAATGTGTTGGCAGCTGGGCTATTAATACGATCCTGAGCATCAGAAGAGGAGGGGGGGGGAGTTTATTTTTAACCTTGGTGCAATTGGGAGGGCACTCCTAGCATGAATCAGCTGAGCAGAATGGGAATTTATTTATTATTTTAATTTCATTTCAAAGGGGTTTTTGTGTTTGTGGGGTGAAGAAGAGTGACAAAATGAGGAGAGGCTGGCGTCAGAAACCAGATGTTATCTAAAGCAGTGTTTCTCAATCTTGACAATTTTAAGGCATGTGGACTTCAACTCCCAGAATTCCACAGCCAGCAATGCTGCTTTTCTGCTGCGTGAACCACCTGGCTGCCTTCCCTCCAATCAGCCCTAGTGGCTGCGTTCATACAACACGAGGTCTGCTTTGGACACCTGGTGCTGCCCTGTGTTGAAATGAACTAAGCCACCATTCAAGAGATCTTGGTTTGGGCATGGTACAGACCCCAAATGGGTTCTCTTCTCAACCAGCTTTTCCTGCAAGTAAATGGTAGAGCCTCTTAAACCCAGATGAACTGCGGTCCTAGGATTTCCGGGTGGTGCCTCATCCAATTCTCCTAGCCCAGTACCATGGAGTTTTTCTGAACAGCCAAGGATGCCCGAGGTTGCCCCCTATCGGAGCTGAAAGGAAATTTGAGATTATCTAAGGGGGCTCACTATGGCAGCTTTACCTGTGGATTTCTGGGAGTTGAAGTCCAGAGGTCGTAAAAGTTGCCATAGTTGCCTTAAGCTCACTAACCAGGGGTTCTCAACCTTGGCCACTTTAAGACTTGTGGACTTCAACTCCCAGAATTCCCCAGCCAGAATGCTTCAAGACGGGTGGATTTCAATTCCCAGAATTCCCCAGCCAGAATGCTTTGAAGGCAGGTAGACTACAACTCCCAGAATTCCACAGCAGCCATGCTGGCTGGAGTATTCTGGGAGTTGAAGTCCACAAGTCTTAAAGTGGCCAAGGTTGAGAACCCCTGCAAGCAAATCCAAGATAAACCAAACGCGTATAAAACAGACACTTATTTTATACCGATTTGATCTCCCTGACTTAACGCAATCATGCACACAACGGCCAAGGCTGTGGATGATGGGGACTGAGGCGACCTCGGAGCGGCTTAGCGGCTCCGACGTACCGTCCACCCGACTCCTCCTCGCCCCCTTTCAACAGAGAGGCCACGCCCCTTTCTCCGCCTCCTCTCCCGGACCGGCTGCCACGGCCAAGAGGCTCCGCCCTTTCGAACGTCGCGTATCGAACCTTGCCTCTCCCGCCTCTCTCTGACTGGCTGCCCCAGCAGAGGCTCCGCCCTTTCGAACGTCGCGTATCGAACCTTGCCTCTCCCGCCTCTCTCTGACTGGCTGCCCCAGCAGAGGCTCCGCCCTTTCGAACGTCGCGTATCGAACCTTGCCTCTCCCGCCTCTCTCTGACTGGCTGCCCCAGCAGAGGCTCCGCCCTTTCGAACGTAGAGTATCCGGCTTCTGCGGCGCGGGTTCCTTTCGCGGCGCCTGCGGACCGAAGGGAGATCCGTGCTCGGAAGTTCTCTGCTGGGTCGGACCTGGTAATAAGGGGGCGGGGCGGGGGTGGTTGCCTGGCTTGGCTCCCGGGGGTTGGTTGGCCTTTTCAGGCGTCGGAGGGGGGCGGTTCGCTTTGATAACACCAGGGACAGCCACCCTAGAAGTAAGACTCCCTGCAAGTAGAAAGTGAGGTCTTCAGGCATACAGAATTCAATCAACCAACCAATCAGAATAGAGCTGGAAGGGACCTTGGAGGTCTTCTAGTCCAACCCCCTGCTCAAGCAGGAGACCCTGGACCAGTGATAGGCAACCTTGGCTCTTTTATGACTCGTGGACTTCAACTCCCAGAATTCCTGAGCCAGCCATGCTGGCTCAGGAATTCTGGGAGTTGAAGTCCACCAGTCATAAAAGAGCCAAGGTGGCCTACCCCTGCCCTGGACCATTTCAGACAAGTTGCGGATTTGGTTTTCTAGCAGGCCCTCCAGAGGTTTGTCATCAGGCCGGGAGGTTCCACGGAAGCAGAGACCTGTCCCGATGGCTCCGGGGTGGAGGGGCCCTTTTTGATTCAAGATCACGTGAATTGTAAATATCAGTTTAATTTATTTACTTAATTGGTTAAGACCCTGCCTGGAAATAACTGCATCCAGTTTTGGTCATCGCATTATTTAAAAGGTGTTGAGACCCTTCTATTGGCTTTCCAAAGCCAATAGGAACTGTCCAGGCTGTCTCTGCCCTGCTGAGCCCGCCAAAAGTCCCATTCTGCAAACGGTGCTGCACCGGTTGAGTAGTCCTCGACTTACAACTGGTTGAGTAGTCCTCAACGTATGACCGGTTGGGGGTCACGGCATTAAAAAGGTTGAGAACCACTGTCTTAAGTAAAGGACTACCTGTGTGACCCCCCCTTGCAGATACTGCTGAAGTTTTGCTGCCCTCTGGTGGTGGGTTGCATATTTTCAATCCGATATAGAAGGGGTCCCCAACCCCCAGTCCATGGACTGGTACCGGGCCGCACAAACAAGCAAAGCCCCATTTGTGGGATTCAGGCAGCACACAAAACCACGCACCCTCCGGTCTGCGGAAAAACTTCTCTCCACGGTCCCTGGTGCCCAAAAGGTTGGGGACCTCTGCGAGGTTGCCTTCCCATATAATAATAATAATAATAATAGTAGTAGTAGTAGTAGTAGTAGTAGTAGTAGTAGTAGTAGTAGTAGTAGTAAAGTTGGAAGGGACCTTGGAGGTCATCTAGTCCAACCCCCTGCTCAGGCAGGAAACCCTACACCATTTCGGACAAATGGCTGTCCAGTCTCTTCTTAAAAACTTCCAGTGTTGGAGCATTCACCGCTTCTGGAGGCAGGCTGTTCCACTGGTTAATTGCTCTCACTGTCAGGAAGTTTCTCCTTAGTTCTAGGTTGCTTCTCTCCTGGATGAGTTTCCACCCGTTGCTTCTTGTCCTGCCTTCGGGCGCTTTGGAGAATAGCTTGACTCCCTCTTCTTTATGGCAGCCCCTGAGATATTGGAAGACTGCTATCATGTCCCCCCTTGTCCTTCTCTTTGTTAAACTAGACATACCCAATTCTAGCAACCGTTCCTTATATTTGTTGGGAGAGTCAGAAAGTTTGCATTGAACAACTGTATTTATAGGTGCAGTCGCTTAGATGAGGGGTCCCCCAGCCCTGGTTCACGGTCCACTATTGGGCCGTGGCCTGTTTGGAACCGGGCCGTGCAAGTGGTGGGCGAGCGTGCACACATGTGACGCTCCATTTGTCTGATCAGCAGGTGGTCATGCCTGCCTCTTGTACAAATGGAGCTACATGCATGCGTGCGCACACCTGCTGCTCACACAGAACCATCCCCTTTCCCCAGCCGCCAGTCTGCCAATCTGCAACGGTTGAGTAATGCTGGCTTAGACCTTGTTTCTAAGACCCTAAGAGGGGGAGCCATGAGCAGCAGCGATGGGGGCAATACACCCCTCCCCCGGCTGTGTTCTCATTTATTTATTTATTTATTTATTTATTTATTTATGAGACTTATATACCGCTTTAAGTGCAAGCACTCTCTAAGCGGTGTACACCAGTAAGCAATGTAGATATATATTTACATTGCCCCCAACAATCTGGGTCCTCATTTTACCTACCCCAGAAGGATGGAAGGCTGAGTCAACCTTGAGCTGGTGAGATTTGAACCGCTGACCTGCTGAACACAGTCAGCTAAAGTGGCCTGCAGTACTGCACTCTAACTGCTGCGCCACCTCGGCTCATGACCTATGTAAACCCACATCAACAAACAACTAAATATAGTAACCTCTGAATGCGACAGTCTGGTTCATATAACACCAGTGGGGTCCTATACAAATAATAATAATGCAATAATTGAACACAGGTAGTGCTGGACGTGCCATCACAACTGAGCTCAAGATTTCTGCTGCTAAGCGAGACAGTTGTTCAGTGAGTTTTGCCCCATTTTATGACAATTTCTTGCCACAGTCCTTAAGTAAATCACTTAAATAAAACACAATTGTTACGCGAATCTGGCTTCCCCTTTGACTTTGCTTGCCAGAAGGTTGCAAAAGAGGATCACATGATCCCGGGACACGGTGACCGTCGTAAATATGAGTCGGTTGCCAAGCGTCTGAATTTTGATTGCGTGACCACGGGGATGTTGCAAAGGTCGTAAGTCTGAAAACTGGTCATAAATCACTTTTTTCAGTGCCGTTGTAATTTGAAATGGTCACTCAAGTCAAGGACTGTCGCTCAAATTCCTGATTTCAGCCCCTTTTGTTAACTTTGGGACTCCTTGTCTTCGACCTTTCTTTAATCTTTTTAATGTATTTTTTTTTCCCCAGGTTCACCTCATGGCTGGGAGAGGCGGAAGAGGAAGGGGCCGGGGGGGCGGCCACATGACCTTCAATGTCGAGGCAGTGGGCATTGGAAAGGGGGAGGCGTTGCCCCCTCCCACTCTGAAGCCATCCCCTCTCTTCCCTGTGAGTTGCTCAGTCTCCTTTGGACTTCCGTGGGTGATCACTGCTCCCCAGTTTTTTTTCCTTTCATTGTTAACACTGTTTTTCAGAAAGTCTTTATCAAACTTCGGGGAGCATCATAAGTCGCTTTCTTCAGCACCGGTCGTAACATTAAACCAGTGGTTCTCAACCTTTCCAATGCCGCGACCCCATAATACAGTTCCCCATGCTGTGGTGACCCCCAACCACTTATACATCACCGGGTGCCAGGGCCGTGGCCAAAGAAAAGGGAGGGGGGGAAATGGCGGACAGCCTTGTTTGGCGACCCCCGTGAAATGGTCGTTCGACCCCAAATGGGGTCCCGACCCACAGGTGGAGAACCGCTGCATTAAACGGTCACTGAAGAAACAGCCATAACTCGAGGACAATCTATATTATAAGAAAATACCACTGAACAATCTTTACGTCAGTTCAGCATAAAGATAATTCCATCCATTTTTGTCTTCATAGGAAGACTTTGGGAGATTTTTGAATATATTTCAGTATCTGTGGCAATTGTTAAGTCCATTTAAATTTCTCTTTTCCGATGAGTGTTTTTTGATCCTATGTGGACTTTTGTCAGGTCCTTAAGACATAGCTACATGGCCCAGACTCAGTGTGCCTCTTACAGGCTAACAATTAAGCATCCATGGTTTGTTGATTGTGGCTTACCATGTTGCAGGAACCCACCAGATGGGCTGTTGCTGGTTCGGGGTCTTAAACCTATCCAGCAAATGGATTAATTTAATAGCCCAATGAAGCGTGTTTTGGGAAAGGAGCCAAAGCATTCACATGTTTTGTCTTAAACCTGGCTTGTTTCTGTAGCCACTGGAATACAAACCACTTTTGCTGCAGTCTGGCGAGGAGGTTGAATACATGCTGGCCCTGAAGCAGGAGCTGAGGGGGGCCATGAAGAACTTGCCATATTTCATCAAGCCTTTGGCCCCCAAAAAAGGTATCGAGTGGCTGAGAAAACCGTGAAGTCTGAAATATTGTCTGCCTTGTGATTGGCTGAGCTTCTGTGATGTCATAGAATACTGGAAAGAGTAGAATAGAATAGAATAGAAATAGAATAGAATAGAATAGAATAATAGAATAGTAATAGTAATAGAATAGAATAGAATAATAGAATATTAATAGAATAGAATAGAATAGAATAGAATAGAATAGAATAGAATAGAATAGAATAGAATAGAATAAGAGATGGAAGGGACGTTGGAGGTCTTCTAGTCCAACCCTCTGCTCAGGCAGGAAATCCTATACCACTGAGTCTTGCATAGGATATTTCTCTTCTTTTTTTCCCCCTTTTTCTTTTCTACCTCCTAGAGCAGTGTTTCTCAACCTTGACAATTTTAAGGCATGTGGACTTCAACTCCCAGAATTCCACAGCCAGTGATGCTGGCTGTGGAATTCTGGGAGTTGAAGTCCACGTGCCTTAAAATTGTCAAGGTTGAGAAACACTGTCCTAGAGGTATTGTCCATCTGCTAGTTTCCCCATAATTCAAAGACTCTGCAGAACCTGTACACAAGGATTTACTAACAGTCAAGCTAAATTGGCACTAGAGAAGGGTCAGTGGAACTCATGGGGAAGGAGCCAGACTTGGGCCTTTTGTGGCTGCGTAAGGATTTCCAACTACTGACCCGTTTAACCCCAGCTGCCATCTCATCTTGCTCACCTCCTCCCTCTTCTCACCCTCCATTTTTTTTAAAGAGGGCATCACTAACGCTTTGAATTTTTAATTTCTCCAGATATCGAGCGCTATTCCGACAAATATCAGACAACAGGCCCAACAGACAACACCATGGAGTGGAACCCAGGTAAGGCCGGAGAAATATTTTGATTTCTTGTACAGGTAGTCCTCAATTTACGACCACAATTCAGCCCAAAATTTCCATTGCTACACAAGACAGTTAAGTGAGTTTTGCCGCATTTTACAAATCTTTCTTGCCTCAATTGTTAAGTGAATCACTGCAGTTGTTGAGTTAGTAACATGGCTGTTTAGTGCAGGGCTCCCCAACTTATGGTCTGCAGCCTGCTACCGGGCCGTGGCCTACTGGCCTACTTAACCCCGCTTACGCTAGTGCCTGTGGACCCGTTTGCGCATGCACACACGGCTAGCAGCAGCAGTGACTAGCAGTTGTGCACATGCACAAACGGGGCCTCTAACGCACACTGGTTGCGGAGCCCATTTGCGCACGCACATGGGACCAGCAGCAGCGGTGGCTAGTGCTTGCGCAGCTGCGCAAATGCAGCCACTAGCCCCATGTAGGTGCACGCAGCCTCATTCACATGCAGCCCCGTTCACATGCAGCTCTGTTCATGCGCATACGTGCGTGCAAATTTCCAAGCTGCTCTCTTTCCCTCCGGGCTGCCAGCACGAAAAGGTTGGTGACCTCTGGTTTAGTGAATCTGCTTCCCCATTGACATTGCTTGTCAGAAGATCACAAAAGGAGATCACGTGACCCCAGGACACTGCGACCATCATAAATATGAATCAGTTGCCAAGCATCTAAATTTTGATCATGCGACCTTGGGAATGCTGCAATGGTCATAAGTGTGAAAAACGATCAAAAGTCGCTTTTTCGGTGCCGTTCCAGTGGTCACTAAATGAAGGGTTGTAAGTCAAGGGCTACCTGTACTACATTAGTTCATAGTGACCAAAGGTACAGGAGCTAAAAGTGTTTTCTTTGTCCTTCATCTTGGAGAAAGATTAAGAATCACCTTGTCTCAAAATCATGTGTGTCCAACCTTTGGCAACTTGTGGACTTCAACTCCCAGAATTCAGTTCAATTCTATGACTGACTGGGGATTCTGGGAGTTGAAGTCCACAAGTTGCCAAGGTTGGACACCCCTGCTGTAAATTATGCCCAAGAGACACAGAGTCTCTAATTATTTACTTTTTAAAAATCCCACTGAAGCATGTTGGAGCCCAAGTGGCTAAATTTTAAATGCTTTGATTAAATCTCTGCAGATTGGAAACAGCTACCTCCAGAACTAAAAATTCGGGTGCAGAAGACTCGAAAACAAAGTAAGTGATTTCATTCTCTGTGGAGGAAATACAATTCTCCCAAACCCCTGCAGCCAGAAGGTTGCCCCCACCTCTTGCTGGAAGAAACTTTACGACTTTGCCCCTTTGATTTCAGGCTGTTTTGGGTGGGGAGGTGGGTGGACCTGACGATGGAAACATCCTATTTCCATGCTTTTTGAATAAACAGTTCAGATAGCCCTCAACCTATGGCCACAGTTGCAACTGGAACTTCTGTGGCTAAGCGATGCTCTCATTAAGTGAATTGCATCTGATTTTATGACCTTTTGTTAAGTGAATCACACAGTCGTTAAGTGAATCCAGCTTCCCACGTCGACTTACTTGTTGGAAACCACTGGGAAGCTTGCAGACAGAATGACATGATTCTGCAACTGTTGTAAAAATACATGGCAGTTGCAAACACACCAGTTTTGATCAGGTGACTGTAGGACATTGACGGTTGTAAGTTGCTTTTTTATTGCAATCATATCTTCGAACGGTTGTTGAATATTTGTAAGTGGTGGGCCACCAATGGTTGTTGCTGATCTTTGGTCATTGGGACACTGAATGTCGATGCTGGGTTTTGGGGTGTTGGTGAACCCCAAATCGTCACTTATGAAGGAGAGGGTCATCCTACATTCAGGAGAATGAATTTGCTTCAGATTTGAGAGGCAGGAGTATCCTTACTTTTCACTCTTTGTACAAACTTCCTCCGTGTTGCCATTTGGTGCATTGGGAAGATCTTAGTAGGTTGTGTGATCAAATCCGAAAGCTGGATAGAGCATCAGCCCATCAAATGTGCATCTTTCCAGGAGCATCAGACCAAAACACCCATCACCTCTGTCGGTGTGTTAGGACAATGGGAGATGTAGTCCTGTACATATGGTGGGCTGCAAGGTGATGTTCAAGGACATTGAGAGGGATCGGGGAGTCCTAGTGTGGTGCAGTTGCCAAAAAGGCCAATGCAGTCCTAACTTGCATTAGCAGAGGGATTGAATCAAGATCATGTGAGGTAGTAGTACTCCTTTTTAAAGCCTTGGTGAGGCCAGGTGTGGAATTCTGCGTCCAGTTTTGGTCAGCGTGATGTAAAAAAAGATGTTGAGACTCTTTTATAAAGAGTGCAGAGAAGAGCAACAAAGATAATTAGGGGGCTGGAGGCTAAAACGTATGAAGAACAGTTGCTGGAATTGGGTACGTCTAGTGAAAAGAAGGATTAGGGGTGACATGATAGCCTTCTTCCAATATTTGAGGGGCTGCCACAAAGAAGGGGGGGTTGACTTATTGTCCAAAGCACCCGAAGGCAGGACAAGATGCCACGGTTGGAAACTAATCAAGGGAAAAAGCAAGCTGGAACTAAGGAAAAATTTCCTGATGGTGAGAACAATTAACCAGTGGAACTACCTGCCTCCAGAAGCAGTGAATGCTCCATCACTGGAGGCTTTGAAAAGAAGAGACTGGACAACCATTTATCTGAAATGCCTGAGCAGGGGGTCAGACTAGAAGATCTCCAAGGTCCCTTCCAACTCTGTTGTTCTGTATTTTGTGCCTTCTTTCAGGCCTGCAGGGTGCTTGCAACTGACCAATGCCATCAAAGAATTTTGCTTTCCTATGAGGCAGCTCCTTGACTGTAGCCTGGCCAAAAATGGGCCCTGGAGGGATCTTTGGCCGGGATGATGAGTTTTTCTGTTTTCTTCCTGGCGCAGGGCGGGCAGTGCCAGCTCCCAAGCACAAACCGAAGGCGCCTGCAGAAAAGGAAGAAGCCATTAAAAAGCTGGAGGTAAGCCAGACGTCCTGGCAGTGCTTTCAAAAGACCAGGCTGGGACTGGGTGGGTCTCCCCCCCCACTTTATTTCCAAATTCTCCTTACACAAGTGGTCCTCGACACACAACAGTTTGTTTAGTGACCATTCAAAGTTACAACGTGACTTTGGATCGTTTTTCACACAACCGTTGCAGCATCCCCAGAGTCACCTGGTAAAAATTCAGACCCCTTGCAACTGACTCCTATTTATTTTTTATAAATATTTTATTAATTTTCTAGTTTTACAGTCAAATACTTAATAGACAACGTGTTGTCTGGGTCTATTAGTAATTCAGTGGAATATATTCCACTTCTTCGGTTTATATCCAATGTTACACCATCAAATGTTTCCTGTCTTCTTCCAGTTCAGGGGTTCTCAACCTTGGCAACTTTAAGACTTGTGGATTTCAACTCCCAGAATTCTTCAGCCAGCTTTGCTGGCTGAGGAATTCTGGGAGTTGAAGTCCACAAGTCTTAAAGTTGCCAAGGTTGAGAACCCCTGTTCCAGTTGTACCTGATTTCCCATACTAGGCAAATACAATTCTTATTGTTATTAATAAATATACAACTGAATATCAACATCTTTGTTACATTTTTCTCATAATATCAATAATGTCAGTTTAAGATATCTTTTCTAACCAAAACATATGTTAATTGCATTTGCACTTAATATCCATATGTTCAATCAGTATCCTGTTTTTGCTTTTTTTTTTTTTAATTTCCCGTCAGTGTTCAAAATGTCTATTGTTTATAATTTCAAAGTAAGTTATACTTGGGTAACCAAAAGCTTCCCTTATTCAAACTGCTTAGTATTTTCCTGTTTCCCTTCTCATAACAAAACCTAATATTCTAATTACAAATCTTATCTTTCTAATTATGATAATACTTCTATTTCTAGCAATTATCTATTCTCCACCATATTCAAACATCTAGTTAATAATATAATATCCCATCTAGTGAATCAAAACCTCTATTTTCTTCAGTCTTATTCTAGCTTTCTTCCTTTGCCAACTAACCTTCCAAGTCAATGCATTTGAATCATCAAGTAATTTTTCCTCTGTTTTTATATATATTGTTTGGACTAAGAAAGACCATTTGATTAAAGTATTTTTGGAAGAGCGAACCCACTGATATTCATTAAACAGCCTCCCTCCTTTTCCAGCTCCCCACAGTTCACCTAACAGTTCTATCTTCCATTCAGTCAGTTCTTCTTCCTTTTCCTTCAATGTGTTCTGAATTCTTGATTGGTAAGATGTCTTTTCCATTTCCGATATTATCGCTCTGTTTTCTAATTCTTCAGTTGTCTGAATCTGTTGGTTAGTCCCTTCCTTTAGGTCAGGGGTTGGCAACCCAAAACACTCAAAGAGCCACTTGGACCCGTTTCCCACCGAAAACAAAACACCGGGTGCCGCAAAACCCTTTTGATATCTAAAATGAAGATAACACTACATATATCCTTTTTTACCTTTATTATAGGTGTGTGTGTGTGTGTGTGTGTGTGTGTGTGTTTGTGTGTGTGTGTATGTGTGTGTGTGTGTGTATATATATATGTGTGTGTGTGTGTACATATATATATATATATATACATACACACACATACACACACAGGTAAAAAAGCATATATGCAGTGTTATCTTCATTTTAGATGTCAAAAGGGTCTCTCTCTCTCTCTGTCTCTTTCTCTCTCCCCCCCCCCCTCTCTCTGCCCTTGGTCTGCCAGTCCTCTTCCCCCACTCTCTTTCTCTTTCCTCTCTCTCTCCCTCTCTCTCTCTCTTTTTCTCTCTCTCCTATCTGCTGCTCACCTGGCAAGCTGGCTTCAAGCTGTTCTCCAACAAGCTCAGGGGTAGGCAACTTCGGCTCTTTTATGACTCATGGACTTCAACTCCCAGAATTCCTGAGTTAGCATAGCTGGGCTAGCTAGCTCTCTCCTGCTTCCTGCTTCATGCAGAGACGCAGCAAAGGGAGGAGCTCTGCCCAATAAGCTTTTCAGCTCCTCAGAGAACACTGTGAGTGCACTCTCTTTTACACACACACACACACACACACACACAGAGAGAGAGAGAGAGAGAGAGAGAGAATCACAATTGCCTCTCTCTGTCTCTGTCTCTCTCTGCAAATGGCAGAGGAGGCTGGGAGCCACAGGGGAAGGCTGAAAGAGTCTCCATTGACTCTGCTTGTGAAGATGCAGGTGGCGATCATGTGACCCCAGGTTGCTGCAACCCTCTTAAATAGATGCCCGAATGTTTTGTGACCATGGGATGCTGCAGTGGTCATAAGTGCGAGGACCAGTTATAAGTCACTTTTTTCAGTGCTGCTGTTTAACTTCAAGAGGTAGCTAAAGGAATAGTTGTAAGTTGAGGACTTTCTTTATTGCGCACCTGTGTAACCCTGGGTTTGTTGGCGTTTCTTTGGGAACTCAACAAGTGGACTAAGTGAGCATCCAGGTTGAAGGTGTTGTGTGAACTCACCTTTGTAGCACATGCTCAACCTCTGGACTTCAATTCCCCACATTCCTCACTGGTTGATGAATTCTGGGAGTTGAAGTCTAGACATTATAAAGTGGCCAGCCTTGAGAAATACTGATCTGGAGCCCATGAAAGGCATAAGGACAGGGCTGGTAAAAGCAGTTGGCAACGTTAATCTTTCCTTCCCCAAAATGTTGTCAAGAGCTCAGCAGTGAAAGTTGGCACTGCCACAATTTTTGGTGCTGAACTTGGTGACTTGTCTGGACAGTCCCCTAATTCTGTGCCAGGATAGGAAAGGAGAGCAGGAAGTGTTTTGGCAGGACGAGGCAGAAATTCAGTGGGAATAACAGTCAGGAAGTGGCACGGTCTTAAAAAAAAACCCATTCTTTAATTGTTTCCTAGACTCTGGAAAAGAAAGAGGAAGAGGTGACATCGGAAGAGGAAGAGGAGAAGGAAGAGGGTGAAGAAGGCAAGGAGGAAGAGGAGGAGGGGTATGATGAAGAAGAGTTTGAAGAGGTAAGAGAAAGTGTAGCAGAGATGAAGGCCCAAAATGGCTGCTTCTGAGCTTTAGTGGGAGCAGAGTTCCCCAATCCCTGTCATTTTAAGATGGGTGGGCTTCATCTCCCAGAATTCCCCAGCCAGCATGGAGTTGAAAGTCCACCCCTCTTAAAATGGCGGAGATTGGGGAACGCTGAATTAGAGGAATAATATTTATTTTATTTTATTTTGTTTTTATTTTATTATTTATTTTATGATATTATTTTATTTTGTTATTTTATTATTTATTTTATGGTATTATTTTATTTTGTTATTCTTATTTTATTATTTATTATTTTATTCTATTTTTTATTCTATTTTTACTTTACTTTTTACTTTACTTCCTTTTTTTATTTTTAAACTTCAGTGCTGTCCACCTTGCCGAAGTGATAGTTTTCTGTTTGGCATCAGATTCTGCACCATGTCCCCAATATATATATTTTTTTGTATTGAAAATTTTTACAGTTTTACAATAAAATAATCCCCCTCTCCCACCCCCCCTTCTCCCCCTATACCCCCCCCTCCTTCCCAGAGCTGAATACAGAGTTAATAAAAACTAAAAAAAACCCTTACAACTTAAATAAACATCAAACAATTATAAATACATTCAAAAAACAAAATTTTAAATACTTTAACTCCAATATATAAAAACAAAACAAAACAATAGTTCTAATCGTTACCTTAAACATAAATTATTCAAAAGCTAAATAATACTTTTTTATGTCCCCAATATTTTGTGACCTGCATCCCAGCTTCTGACAAAAGTTGATATAAAATATGAATCTCCAATCCACCTAAAAAACAGGGAAGGTTTTAGCAGGCTCTGAAGTTGTTGAATTTCAGCCATTTTCCTTTCCTTTTTTTTTTTTAATGCTGCTGCAGGAGACGGACTACATCATGTCCTATTTTGACAACGGAGAAGACTTTGGCGGCGACAGTGATGACAATATGGACGAAGCCGTCTACTGAAGCCGTCGGGTAGGCTGTCACCTGGTGAGGTGACTGGCATGGTCATCTTTGAGGGCTCTCGGAAAGAGTGTCCAGATGTCCCCCTCCAGCCTCTAGGGCAGTGGTTCTCAACCTTTTTAATGCCGCGACCCCCAACCGGTCGTAAGTCGAGGACTACTCGACCGGTCGTAAGTGGAGGACTACTCAACTGGTACAGCACCGTTTGCAGACTGGGACTTTTGGCGGGCTCAGCAGGGCAGAGACAGCCTGGACAATTCCTATTGGCTTTTGAAAGCCAATAGAATTAGACTCTATTCAAGAGAGTCTATTCTTCAAATCCCAGAATTCCCCAGCTAGCTTGCCTTAAGATGGGTGGACTTCAACGCCCAGAATTCACCTCTTCAAGTCGCCGAGGTTGAGAAATGCTGGCTTAGCCCCAGCTCATGGAAAGAGGAAGCTGATTTTGGGGGACAGAGTTTGGGGTGAGTCTTCGGATTTTAACTGCTGCTGGAAAAAGCAGACATTTGGGTTTTTCCTGATCCTGAAGCTCATCAGCTGCCAAATAAGAGGCCGGTTTTGGGGAGGGATGTGTGGCATCTCTCTCCGTAAAAACGTTGGGTTACAATTAAAACCTGTTTAATTTTTCTCCTGCTTCCCCTTTTGGCCTTTGGGCTGAAGCCAGGCCCTGTGAATTAGGGGGGGGGGGGCAGGGGTGATGCTCCTGTCAATCTCCTTTGAATTAAAGTCAGATGTTGGATGTTCTTGCGAAGGGCCTCTGGGTGCCACCTTTAATCCGGAAATAAAATGATGGGAAGAGTTTGCCATCTCTTCTGGCTCAAAATTGCCTACCTGCCCAGGTGGAGGTTTGAAGTGGGAGGGCTGTGGGTGCGCCAGACCGCTCCCGATTTTTCCAGTCCAAGGTTTCCCCTGGGATGATGAGCAGGAGTTTCTGGGCAGGTGTGAAATTTGGCTTGCAAAGTTTTGGGCCTAAAATAGGTAGTCCTCGACATGCGACGACAATTGGGACGAGAGAATTCCTCTTGAAGCAGTGTGGTCGATAAGTGAGGCACCATGTGACTGCAGCTGATTTTAGGATCCTTTTTAGCTCTGGTTTTACAAACGTTTGTTTAGTGGCTGTTTGATGTTATGATAGCACTGAAAAAAGTGACTTATGACCATTTTTCACACTTACGACCGTTGCAGCATCCCCACGGTCACATGATCAAACTTCAGATGCTTGGCAACTGGAATGTACTTAATGACGGTTGTACTGTCCCTGGGAGATCACGTGATCCTTTTTTGTGACCTTCTGGCAAGCAAAATCAATGGGGAAGCCAGATTCACTTCACAATCGTGTTATTTTTGTTAGGTATTATTGTAGACTGTGATGGTAAAGAGATTACCTTAATGTTAAATTTTATTACGGCGGCAAGGTTGCTGATTGGGCAATATTGGAAGAAGGATTCCTTGCCTACTATAGAAGAATGGTTTCTTAAAGTTTCTTACTTATCAGAAAGGGCAAAAATTTTGGCTTATCTGAAAGACCATTCACAAGAGAGATATATCTCGGTGTGGAAAAGATGGGTAAATTTTGTACAGAATAAATATGGGATTAGGAAGTATTACTTAGCTTTTGAATAATTTATAGTTTAAAGTGGGTATGGTTGGATTTGTAGTTTCTATGTATTGGAGTTAAAGTACTTTAAATTTTTGGGATGTATGTATAGTGGATTGATGTTCATTTAATTTGTATGGTTTTTTTTTGTTTCTTTAACCCTGTATTCAGCTCTGGGAAGGAGGGGGGAGGGTTATGGGGTGGGAGGGGGGGTATTTTATTGTAAAAAGTTTATAAAAATTTTCAATTAAAAAAAAAAAGAGTTGCAGTGACTTCCTTAACAACTGTGGCAAAAACATTGTACGGCTCACTGAACAACTGTCTTGCCGAGCGATGAAAATTCCGTTCCCAATTGTCGTAAACCGAGGACTACCTGCATCATATGGCTGCGGCTTCCGAGTTCCTGCTGGCTTCCCCATTACTTGTCAGAAGCTGGCAAGGGAAGGTGGCAAATGGCACGGCTGCAGGACGCCGGGAATGCCCTTCGTGTAAGCCGGTTGCCAAGCACCCAAATCGCAACCGTGACAGTGGGAATGCCACAACCGTCATAAGTGTGAGGGTCAGCTGTAAGTCACTTTTTTCAGCACCGTCGTAACTTTGAACGGTTGTTAAATGAATGGTCATAAGCCAGTGATGGTGAACCTTTTAGAGCAGTGGTTCTCAACCTTTCTAATGCCGCGACCCCATAATACAGTTCCCCATGTTGTGGTGACCCCCAACCACTTATTCATCATCGGGTGCCAGGGGCGTGGCCAAAGAAAAGGGGAAAATGGTGGACAGCCTTGTTTGGTGACTCCCGTGAAATGGTCGTTCAACCCCAAATGGGGTCCCGACCCACAGGTTGAGAACCACTGTTTTAGAGACTGAGTGCCAAAACTGCAACCCAAAATCTAGTTATGCATCGTCGAGTGCCGGGGGGGCGTGGCCCATTGGGTGGGTGTGGCCAATTGGGTGGGCGTGGCTGTGGTGGTAATGGCAGACTGGATGGGACTAAAAAGTACAATCAATCAATTCCAACTTTGCAAGATCTTTTTTTTTCCCACGAGAAGTTGAAATTGATTGATTGAACCTTTTTTTTTTTTTTGCACACGGCGGCAGAGGTCTAAATCGAAAAGGTTTTATAAAACCCAGCTGAAGGCCTAGGACTGGGGCGACGGTGTGCGTGCCCACAGAGGGGGCTCTGAGTGCCACCTCTGGCACCCGTGCCATAGGTTCTCCACCATTGTCATAAGCTCTCTTTTCCTGTAGCTGATTGCCTGCCCAGTAAATGAATTTCTTTTTGGGTTAAGGGAGCTGAACGTGGGAAGTGACCTTCCGACCTTGATCTCCACTTTCCACTGCCTGCCCTGTGAGGAAGGCCCGTGGGAGCCTTGACTTCTGGTTTCTGGAGCCTCATTACACAAAGCCGGCATCTCACCCAAAACGGGAACTTGAGAAGGGTGCGCACACAAACAAAAAAAGCCCACAGTTTCCAGAGAACCTTTGCTGTTATTTTTTAAAGCGCCACCCATCCGTCAGCAGGCTTGCACTTTTACAATTGCGACAACGCATTTAAAAATAATTTAAAACAAAATCCTCCCTGGAAGGTTGGAGGAATGATTGTGTCTGGAGCTGGCACTTAATTTCATGATAAGTACACTCTTCTCCTGGGTTATAATCCAATGAAACATAAATTAGCCAATTATAGATAGTCCTCAGCTTACGACCATTTGTTTAGCAGCCCATTCGAAGTTATGACAGCACTGAAAGCAAAAAGGGACTTGCAACCATCGCAGCGTTCCCACGGTCATGTGATCAAGATTTGGGATGCTTGGCAACCGGCCTGTATTTACGACCGTTGCAACTGGGCCCATGTGACGCAGTGCAGATAATCCTTGACTTATAGGCATGTATTGCTCAGAGTCCCTCTTGGAACGGGAAATCAATCGATTACATAAAATACATAAATACATATAGATAGTCCTCAACTGACAGCCGCCCTTGAGCACAAAATTTCCGTTGCTAAGCAGGGCGGTTGTTAAGCGGGTTTTGCCCCATTTTACGACCTTCCTTGCCCCAGTTGTAAAGCGAATCACTGCAGTTGTTAAGTTGGTCACACAGCTGTTACGCAAATCCGGCTTCCCCACTGACTGTGTTTGTCAGAAGGTCGCAGAAGGGGACCACGTGACCCTGGGACGCTGCGACCGTCGTAAATATGAGTCAGTTGCCAAGCGTCTGAATTTTGATCACGTGACCGTGGGGACGCTGCAACGGTCGTAAGGGTGGGGAATGGTCATACGTCTCTTTTTTCAGTGCCATTGTAACTTTGAATGGTCACTAAATGAATGCTTGTAAATCAAGGATTATCTGTACATATATACATGCATAGATACTAACTACTTTGGTCATAACCCGGGGACTACGTATGTGCCCTTCAAAGCCACCCGTTATCTGACTTGATGTGCTTTTGAAGGAGACGTTTATGACACCTGGAATATTCTTCCCGAGTAAATTATTCTCCCGTTACTACTACTAGTCTTTATCATTATTTCAAGTTCTAACTATTTATGGCTTGTCCATGAGAGTCTTAAGTGCAGGCTGGACTTTCTGCAGCTTCTGTGTTTCTCTTTTCCAGGTCTTCCTGAAGTTGTGTTTTTCTGTTGCAATTGGATAAGAAGGCCTCGTGTCCAGGTGTTATCTTGTTATCATCCCAAGCTTTCTGATAGTTACTAAAGGAGGATGAGGAAGAGGAGGAGATTTGAAGGGCAGGGAGTTTGTGGCTGGGTGACTCACCCATAGTTTCCCCACCAGTAATCTGAGTTTCTTGGAACACAAGTATTCTGCTTCTGACTCCCAGTTTTTATCAGTTAAAGTTCTGTTGACATGTTATATAACCTCCTCAGGCATCGTGCCAAGCCTTTAATTAAAAAACAACCCATACACAGTGGTGTAGACCAGTGTTTCTCAACCTTGACAATTTTAAGGCATGTGGACTTCAACTCTCAGAATTCCACAGCCAGCAAGGCTGGCTGTGGAATTCTGGGAGTTGAAGTCCACATGTCTTAAAATTGTCAAGGTTGAGAAACACTGGTGTAGACAGTCACAGAGAACATAGAATCCTATGGCTCGAAGGGATCTTCAAACTTGGCTTATGGACTTCAACTCCCACAATTCCTCAGCCAGCGTGTCCATTGGCTGGCATCAACTTTCTGAGCAGAATTAGCTTACTCTCTCCTCCCTCTAGGTCAGGGGTCTTCAAACCTGGCCCCTTTCGTGACTGGTGGACTTCAACTCCCAGAATTCCTCAGGCAGGCTGACTGAGGAATTCTAGGAGTTGAAGTCCACCAGTCATAAAAAGGGCCACGTTTGAAGACCCCTGCCTTAGAGGTCTTCTAGTCCAACCCCACTGCTCAAGACAGCCGCCTTTTACTATCCC